TATATATGTCAACAATTAAAATCATCTAAATATAATTTTTTAAATAAAAATTGAATACATCAAATAATATTTAAAAATCACCAGACTCATACTTTATATCTTTGCGACGATCTCTAAATTTCTTTTCTTACAACGTTGATGATTGATCTTCACATGATTACGAAGTAGATGACCACTCACGTGAGAGCCATGCGGCGAAGCGCAATGGAGCGATGCCATATCTCAAAATAAAAATAAATAAATAAATAAATATAATTGGACATAATTAGACCATACAATTAGCTGGCACAAAAGAACATCATCTCTCAACAGGGGAATAGGGAGGGAAACTCTTGTCTTCCCCTTAACTTGAATTGCCTTGCCACACTGAGCAAGTCAAGGAAAAGCTTCAACTGCTCACTTTCCTCAAAGAATTGAATTGTGGCTGCTGCTGCCTGCCAAATACCCGATGATGGCACAGAAATGGAGGATTGGGCCACATTGCCGACAAGCTTCTGTGACTTCAATGGTGGAGTGGCTGAACCACACCAAACTGTTCTTGTTTGAATGCATGTGGTTGCAGAAGAAGGGCCACAGATGCATTTGTGTGAAGGGTGGAAACATGTGTCATCTGAGAGATTGGGAAGCCTGTGTTGTTCGTGCTCGAGCTTTTAATCCTTTGTTTAGACTGATGAAGATGAGAATGAGTGTGTCGTAGAACAAGAACATGTTTTCTCATGCAATTTGGCCCAATTTAAGATGTTAGATGGATGAGAGGCATTATAATTATTAATTAATTATATGAGACAACTTAATTTCAAATGGGGAAGATTACAACTTTTGCATGTAATTTCGGCTGAATTCACGCAATCTTCTCATAGTTCCAAATTCAGTGTTTGACCATCTTAGGTTCTCAAAATAATCATACAAATGTGGCCACTTTAGCCTCATTAGTCAAATTTGTCATATGCCATGGATGGATATGGCTTATAAAAAAAGTCCAAGTAGAAGGACAAGTAAACAAAGTCTTTTTTTTATTAAAGAAAAAATGATATATATATATATATATATATATATATATATATATATATATATTTCAAATTCTAAAATATCATATCGGTTAAGTAGATCTCTACCATCTGATATCAATCGATGATACCAAATAAATAGTATGATCCGATATCGAAATTTCTAAATATCGAACGGTACATATCGACGAATTTTTGAGTCGTTTGTTTGATCAATCTCATATGGCAATTAATAGAATCAGATGGCATAATGTTTTTCTTTTTCAAATATGTAGTCTTGCAGGCTTTTCTCGGTTCATTTGCCATCACTTTGTGATTGATCACGTTTGACTCCTGTGCTCCTTTTCTCCTTGCTGTTGAATCAGAAAACCCACCTAATCCTTCTCCACAACAATCTCTCCATAGCTACTGAGACTAAGTACATCTAATTAAGATTTTGAATGGCAATTGTAGAGAAAGAAACTAATGAAAATTTAGCAAGAATTACTCACCATCAAGACATGAATATGACATTTAGATTTGTCTTGGATACACTGATCATAGTTTGGTTGGGCATATGTGCTCACAGTAGGAAAAGGGCTCACCCTATACCTTAAACCTTTGATGCTCTGTGTTTATGTGCTAATGCTTCACAATACTTTGATGTGCAAAGGCAAAATTCATGTCTTTAGACAAAGTAATTTTTTTCCAAATCGATCTTGATAAGTAAATTAATAAAGAAGTGTATAAGTAAGGCAAGGAAATCAATCAAAATAAATATAAGAAAGCGATTGTATGATCGATCATGCAACAAACCGAAAAAATAAATGATCATGCAGTCGAAGAGGAGATTAAGTAATTCTTGGAAGAAGATCATGCAATCGATAATCGTGTAATCGGAAGATCAACGTAATGAGGATGATCATATAAGAAAGACTATGATCATAAAATAGAAGAAAGATGAACATGTAGATCATGAATACAAGAAATAAGATCCATGTGAGCATGTAATTGATGTACTTATTAGACCCACAACATACTGATGAAAAATGTGTGCTTCCACTCAAAAATCCCTCCTTCTTCTTCTTCTTCTTCTCAACAAAATTTTCTCACACTCATCTATTTATCTTAATATAAATTTTTATCTTTTATTTTATCTAATCCTAACTATTTGAATTAATATAATCATACCCTTTTAATTCAAAATAGTTATAACTTGAAATTGTCCTAAAGAAATAATTTTTTTCTTTCAAGAAAGCTTTTGTAAAAATATCGACATGTTGATCTTTGTTGCAGTAGTCAATTAAATTTTTTCTTTATCAACTATTTCACAAATGAAATGATATCAAACATGTATTTGGTATTCTTGTGGAAGATATGATTCTTTATTATTGTAATAGTAAATTTATTATTGTAGTAGATTCAAGTTGGTCCATCTTGCTTTTCTTAAAAATCTGATATAAATCTTCCAAACTAAATTGTTTGACGTGCTGTGCATATAGCCACAACATACTCCGCCTCATAAGAGTAACATATTCGTACTTTTTTTATTGTCCATAAAATTATACTTAGAGTCAAGGCTGAGCATAAATCCTGAAGTATTTTTATTAACATCTACGCAACCAACCCAATCAATATTAGTAGAAAAATATAACTTAAAATATTTTACTTATTCATAATAGTTGTCTAAGAGTTCTTATAGCTGCTCCAAAGGTGATGCTTGCTAGAGTTGTATATGAATCTCGATAACAAACTAACTACAAACATAATATCCAATCTTAAATGTGTGAGATAAATTAACCATCCAATTAAACTTCTGTAATATTTCTTATTTATTTTTTTAACTCCATCATCTAATATAAGTTTATCATTTGTATTCATTAGAGGAATCATTTTTTACGATCAATGTTAATACTGTTTTAATTATATTAATTTTGATAATTGGAGAAAAAGTTTTTTAAAGATCGATGCTTGGAATTTGAGCATACTCTTTGGCAACTAGATAGACTTTATATTTTTATAGCGAGCCATTAGCCCTAAATTTTGACTTGTACACTCAATTGAGTCTAATTGCTTTTTTTCCATGGGTAAATCTACTAAATTCCAAGACTTTTTTTTTTCAATAGCTTTCAGTTTGTTATTCATTCCATGCACCCATTCTTCTTTCTAAGTTATAATTTTAAAACAAGTAAGTTCTAAAGCAAAACATACCAAATCACTAGACTAATATATATGTAAAAAACTATAATTTTTTTAAAAAGGTGTTTTGGTATCATTAAAATTATTTGAATTAGAATCATTCAAAATATGAGAAGACTTGGTGAGGTATTAACAATAGGCAATGTATCATGTGCTTTATCGACTTTTTCTCGTGCGACTATTGAAATTTCAATTGTCTTAGAGTTGTAAGCTTCTTCTTCATTAAAAATAATATCATAACTTATGATTAATTTCTTAGTTATTAGATCATAAAGTCTAAAACTTTTTATCTCATTGCTAGACCCCACAAATACGTATTTAATGTTTTTATCATCAAGTTTGCTTCTTTATTATATAGGAATATGAAAATATAAAAGTAAGCAACACAACCAAAGTCCATTAAATGACTTATATCTGGTTTTCTATTTAACCATGCTTTGTAGGTTATTTTTCCTTGTACTGTCTTGGTAGAAAAATAATTTAACAAATATACTACTATACGCATAACTTTTACCCAAAACTCTTTTGATATTGCCTTTTCTTTAAGCATGCAATTGGCAATCTTGACCACAACTCAGTTCTTCCATTCTGCTATTTTATTTTGCTGGGAGGTATAGTTTGTAATCAGTTCCTTATGAATACTTATATTATTATAAAAAATAAAAAAAATCTTTAGAAATAAATTCACCCCCTCTATCAGTATGTAGAGTTTTAATAAAACAGCCATTTTATTTTTTTTTACATATGTTTCAAAAATTTTGAAAACAAAGAATGCCTCAACATTTTCTTTTAGAAAGTTTACTCACATCATCCTTATATAATCACTAATAAATAATAAAAAAATATTTACTTCCATCATATGATATAGTCTGCATAAGCTCATAAATATTTGCATGCATAAGTTTCAATCATTATTTGACTATATGAAAATGGCCTATTTGAAAGTTTGAAAGGTAAATCATAGTCTCCGCAAAGAGTATCTTTATTTTTAATATTAGGTAGACTACATATCATATTCTTTTAATTTAATAGTTTTAGTCCATCATAATTCACAGACTATATATTTTATGTCATAATATCGATTTATCAATAATAGTAACAATAAATATATGAAATGAGAAATCCAAAAATAATAAAGAAAATATTTTATTTTTTTTTATCATCTGTATAGTTGCCATTAATTTTTAAATTTTCTTATCATAAATCAAATATTTCTTATCATAAAAAATAGTATAATGTCTTTTTCTCATCAGTTGTCCTATATTGATAAGATTTTATTCTAAATCAAGAATAAATATCACTTCATCAATAAATTTTTTATTAGATTTGGTGTTCAAATAATTATCCTTTTCCTTCCACTTAAATCTTGCTATTATTTTTTATCTATACTATTAATCTAAATGAATCATCAAATCTGTGAAATAAACTTTTGTCCAAAAACCAAACAGAATTCTTCATTAGATATCATAAAGAAAATATTTTCTTTATCTTTATTATTATTATATTTTAATTATTATTTATTTATTTTTATTCTAACATTCTTTTTCAAGATAGGTCACATTTTTTACAATGAAAGCAGAGAAAAATATTTTGATTTTTATTTTTGTACTAATATTTTTTAAAAATATTTAATTTTTTATAACAAAAACTTTGATAGATTTCTTTGTTATCTTAATTGGAGTTCCTTTGATCCTTATTTGATCGGCCTCGTCCCTTGTCTCGAGCGTAATATCATCCATGGCCTCTACCATTTTGATATCTTCTTTAAGATATAGTTTTTAAAATTTTCTTTTGGTCATTCTTCTTATATATCTTCATTTAAAGAAAATATTCTAAAGTTTCATATGAAGATCCGTTCACTTTTTATTCATGAACTAAAAAGGAGCCTATTAATTCATCAATAAATAACATACTTGTATCTTTAGTTTCTTCTATAGTCTTAAAAATCATATTAAATTTTGGAGATAAATTTCGTAATTTTTTTTACAACTATTTGATATTTTAGGTTTTAACCTTAAAATCTCATTCGATTCATAATATAAAATTATTTTTGAGAAAAAATCAATGATAGATTCAGAATTTTTGAGAAAATTTTATTTTTGAAGCTTTAAAGTTTTTGACTTGTTTGTGACTCCGAACACACTATTTAATATTTTTTGACTTTTATTGATATTAATACCAAGATGATTCAGTAAAATAGAAACTCATATATTACTTGTTATAGCATGTAGAGAGATCTTGCATCTTTCTGCATATTTTTATTTATTTTATCTTTTTGATCTTCAGTAATATTAGGATCCTATAGATCATACTTAATAATATATTTCTATAAAATTTCATAATCTTTGTGAAATAAATAGAATTCTCATTTTAATGACCCAAAACCAATAATTTTCACCTTTAAAGATAAAAATAAATTGATTAGAAACACTTACTCTAATGTTTGTCATATTCCTTTTTTTTTTAGATTTACTGATCTTTCCTTCTTTTTTGATCGACATACTCCTATTGGTATTCTTTAAACCAATATCATACTTATTGACTTTCTACCAAACTTCACGGAGAAAGGGAAGAAGATAGTAGAACGAATGGTGAGTGCCTCTAATTTACAATGCTTTAGGTTCATCGAACAATATCTATTTATATTAGCCAAAAGATAGATTATGATTTTAAAAAAATAAAAAAAAATATCATAAATCTTTTTATCCTCATTTATTTATCTTAATCTAAATTATTATCTTTTATTTGATCTAATCTTAACTATTTGAATTAATCTTATCAATAATCTGTATATATATATATAATGCATTCTTGTTTCATCTTTTAAAATTAATGTAATTTTTTTTTCTACTAAAACTTATAATGGGTAGATTTGAATTAGCTTTTTTAACATCCGCTGGTATTATGATGTTTTCATCTACTTTCGTTCTTAGGTTTCATTTAGGGCTTGCATTGGGATGTGCTTTATGTCCTAAGTCAGTGAGATTTGAGTCAATGGCATCTGTCTTTGCTTGCAACACATTGATTGAGGACGAAAGAAAAAGAAGGAAAACATCAAAAGCTCTACAACTGAGTAACTCAATATAGTACAAAGTCCAACAAGAATCTAATCTTAGTTGCACTCTGTCAAGCTCTTAATTACTGATTCTGACTTATATGTCCATGTGACCCTTAAACTAATCCTCAGCAGCCCTTTGTCTCAAGCAACTGCAGATTTGGATCAGCAGACATCAACCTTTCTTATATCAGGAAGTTGCACGGAGTTTAATGCCATGCCCACATACAAAATCCAGTTGTCTTGATTCCTGATGCTTTGAGACATTGGTTGTATTGTGAATGATGCATGGATTCACAGGGAAACATATTCATCATCAAGATCTGACCTTTTCATGTTTGCAGTCAGAAACGTATTGGCTATAGGGTTGTTGTTCATGCTGCCATTGTTGCAGTGCCCAAAGGTAGAGATCAGAAGCTGCTTGATCTCCTCATGGTTGTATTCCGGTCCATTGTTATCTACCTGACACCCTCCTTCAAGAAACAGTTTGTTGCCTTCCATAGCACCATAGATATCTTCTAGTCCATCTTTGACATCGCTGAACCGAGTGCAGCTGCCATCATGTGAGCTGAAGGTGATCGTATGATGCTGATGATATGGAACCTGCAAGAGATCACTAGAGATCGCGGCGGTGGGGAAGGACTTCCACATGTCATGGGAGGTTGCAGGAAAGCCTTCTTCTTCTTCAGTGAGGAAGGGTTTTGGAGCGGTGTAAAAGCCAGCTTGTGGTGGCGAGGATGGTGAAGGGAAGAAAGGCTGGTGTTGTTTCTGTGGACGTGGTTTCCTTTGGGAAGGAGCGATTCCGAGGAGTTTCTTCTTGAGCTTGGTGTTCCAGTGGTTCTTGATGTCATTGTCCGTCCTGCCTGGGAGCTGGGAAGCGATGACAGACCACCTGCACTACGTTGGCTTCGCCATTAAGATCATGGGCATAGGCGGACAGTACGGATGAGATACTTCTCTTCGTGCAAGCACACAAATGGGGGTTTCTCTCTTCCTTATCGAGGAGAATCAACAGAGAAGTGAAGAAGGATGCTTCAAACCTGCTTCCAATGGTGGCGAAGAGGCTGCAGATGATTCTGTCTTCTTCTTCTGAGAACTCCCCATGTTTTATGTTGGGCCTCAGGTAGTTGAGCCATCGAAGTCTGCAACTCTTCCCACATCTCTTCAGCCCTGCCAAAATCACCAAAACAACAATCGAACAACCACAACTTCGAGGGAAAGAAAAAGGGCACAAATCCAATCTATGTATCTTACCTGCTTTATGAGGGAGAGCGATCCAATTCCCACCGGTGCCATGCTTCTCTATGAACTCCTTCAGCTTGGAGTCCTCCTCAGGTGACCAAGGACCCTTCTTCACGTTAGCCTTGTCACAGCATGGAGCCCTCCCCATATCCCCAAACCCAAGGAGGAACTTCTCGCTTGTATTACACCAGTATGAGGTTGCAAGTTGTAGCTGGTGATGCTCGAGACACAGCCTCTGAGGAGAGAGACAACAACACAGAAAGCAAGAGACTGAACTGAAATAAGACATGGAAGTTGTAAGAAAGTCAAAGGTTAGCCTGTCTGGTTTCCATCATTTCGAACCTCTCTACAGTAACTTACCATCTTTCATATTAAGGCCATACCTGTACTTACCAGGGCTTCCCTCTCTCTCTCTCTCTCTCTCTCTACT